GCCGACCCTTTAAAATAACCTCAACTTTGACCTCAGCTTCAAGAATAAAGTTTTCTGCTTGGATTATTAATAATTAAATCAGTAAAATCAAATCAAATTTATTGCATTTTTCAGTATTTATTGTGTAGTATTTTGTACCATTAAAAATGATTTCGTACCTTGTTTTATTTATATAAAATTATGGTCCTGCTGACTTAATTTTAAGCTAACAGAGTAAATATCATTGAAAAACGGCACATTGCAATAGATTTTATCGTTTCTGAATTTGTACTAATTGGTACCACCGAGAAAAGTATGCAAATTTCTGTTTACCCCTTAAAACAACCTCACATTTAACCATCCTCAAAAATAAAATTTCTCTCTTTCCATTATTAAGAATTAAATCGATAGAATCAAATTATATTTATTGTGTTTTTTATTACTCATTATGTACTATTTTGTACCATAAAAAATAATTTTGTACTATTTAAAAAAATATTGTAGTCCTACTAACTTAATATAAAGAGAACAAAATAAAAACTGGTAAAAAACGACAAGAAATGATAGATTTTATCGTTTTTGAATTTGTACTAATTTGTACCATCAAGAAAAAGTGAAAAAATCGTGATCCTGCTATCTTTATATTAGGTTTAGATAAGGGAGGGGTTGTTTAAAAGGGAAAATAAATAAAATTTTCGATTTATTTCGAATGGTACAAATTAGTACAAATTCAGTACTAATTGTGTGTACCATGGTTTATTTATTTTTTTATTTTTTTTTGGTCCTGCTAGCTTGATATCAAATTAGCAGCGCCATCATTTTTTTTAAAACGGCACGTGGTACAAATTTTTTTTTGTGGTACAAAATAGTACAAAATAAGTACTAAAAAATGCGATAGGTCCTATTCGATTCTGCTCATTTCTGGTCCTGCTAGCTTGAGAGAGGTACTTTTTTCATCAATAATTTTTACATTTGCAAGATTATAATTACTCAGTTATCAGAGTATTTTCATTTCAATAATATAAAGAATCCATGATTATATAATATTCGTATTGTTGTTCCTTTGACAACCTGTGAAGCGTCGAGTAACGATAAACAATTTAATATAGGAGTAAACAGCCTGAAACGTGAAAGCAACAAAGGCGACGTAGGTCTCGTTAAATCTGGGTGATCGTTTCGTTGCAAATCAAGCTACCTGCATTTTTATGCGAGCGACAGGCGCAACGTTAAACTTGGGTAGTTTCCAGGAAGCCTAAAAAAGAGAATTAAAAAGGCACGAGAATTGTTTGCGTAGCATTTTCACGGGTAGAATCCGAACGCCCAATTTAGTCGCACGTCTTTTCTCGTGCCACTCATATATCGTTACTCCGATCGGTCGCGCTGAAATGAAAATCGACTGTTCTCGGAGAGAACATGCGTCTCGCAACTTCTCCCGCTCTTTTCCAGGTATAATTGAACGCTGCTAATTGATCGGAACGAACTGTTCATCATGTTTTTCGAGCAATTAAGCTTTAAAGAAGATCAAACCGAATAAAATTTTTTTCTAGTGATCTATAATAGATACCAATAGTGAAACAATTTCGGCTGAGGTCGTATCGTCTTTATTGCTTCGAAAGCTTATTTCGTATTATTTTATGTCGAAACTTTGTCGAAATTTATGTCAAGAGTCCTTGACTTAACTTTTCCTTTAAGTGGAAGTTTTGAGATAGATATTAAAAAATAGGAGGATTTACAAATCTTTTTCAAAGAAATGTATAAATATATTAATATGAGGTTTTGACCATATTATTCATCATCTTTGAATATACAATTATTTAAAAAAATTGAATTCTGTTCAGGTTTTTCTATGATATCGCTAGATATCTCGAACTAATTAATAATATCACAATTCGTGTAATAATCTATAAGCAAATGTGTAATAAAAATAAGCAGAATCAAAAAATTTAAAGATTATTAAATTTACTAGAAAAGATGAGCTTAAATTCTTTGGAAAATTTCAAAAATTAGTATTTTTCTTGGATACTAAATAAAATAGAAAAAGAGAGAGGAAAAATGTCTTTAATTTCAAAAAGTACTGCCATTTTGTTAAATTTCAACTTTCTACATACAAGAAAGATTCATCCTCTAGCAAATTTAATGTGATTTTTATATTTTCTCGTTTTATTTATTGCAGATTATTACATGAGGTGTAAATGTTGTCCACTTAGTGTTTGGCGACATCAGTCAGTTCAGTACATAACATCTATACGGTGACATTTCAACATTTATTTTAATAGAAAATAACTTTTCATACTTAAAACAGTGATAAATTGTATGGTTAAAATGTTACGTCAATCTTTATTCATTTCTTTGAACAAATATGATATGACATGACAAACTCTTATTTTTCGGCTATCCAAAATAGAAACTTCTTTTAACTCTCTACTGTCCAAATTAATTTCTCCAAAAATTTTTCATGTATATAGGATGTTTAAAACTAAAATACTCAATACATATAAGGTGAAATTTTACTTTTCTAATTTTTTATTTTCCCAAAATAGGTTTGTGACTCTGAGGTCACGTTTTTTTGGCAGTTGCTATCGTAACTAACATATTAAAAAATGGCAGCCATATTGTGACTTTCACGTCACATCGGTCAAAACAGAAACAACATTCATATAGGCGATAAATAATGTTGGAATTGAATCGTAACTTCAGAATCACAGTGGGCAGTAGAGGGTTAATTGCGGAGACGTTACGAAGAAATATTCTGCGCTAAAATCGTGCAGAGATTTCGCTTACACTCGCGATCGCTACTGTTTCAGTTACAGGAGCGTCCGCGGAGGTCACGGGGAAGACCGAGGATCCGCGGTGGAGCACGTACAGCGCCCGGAAGACGAGTCGCTCCTCATCGCCGCGATCCTGGCCGTCCTCGAGTCTGGAGCACGCCGCGAGGGAGACCAGACTCTCCAGCGGCAAGCACCCGGAAACTACTCCTTGGGGCGTAGATAGGTCAAGTCCTGGGGCTCGATCGGACTTGAGTTTCCTGGAAACGGTGACCGAGAGGTCCGAGGAGGACGAGGACGGGAAGGTGCAGTTGCCAAGGGGAAATGACACCGGGGACGCGAGGATCGCACAGCGTAACCAGTCCATCTCCTCGAGGAGCGACGAAACGAACCAGACGGATCCGTCCAAGTGGATTTCCGTCGTGTCGTCGTCCCCACAGTCGTCGACGATTGGCTATCGACTCGCGAGGACGTCGTCTTCTGGAAGCTCCTACGATGTAATTCGTACCAAATCTCGTAGATAATAGCGTTTGAAAATTTCATCATGATTAAGGCTATGAATGTCTCGGATACGTCGAGCAATGTCGAGAGGTATCTTGGAATTAGTAATTAATCTCGTCACTACGACTGACAATTTGATCAGTCTCGAGTTCTTAAAGTAGAAGGCTGCAAATGGAGCTATTCATCACAACCATCGATTATCTAAATCGTTTCGCCGATAATTAAATAAGATTAAGTGCGCGCAAAAGTACTTGTATGAACTGTTAAAGTTTTTTTAGGAATTTCCGCAAGAGATGGAGATAAATCTTTTCGAATTCAAACGTGTGTACAAGTTAAAAAGCACATTGGAGGCAACAAGATATCAGTCCAAGAAGTTAAATGAAAAACATTATGCTTCCTCTTCATGCCCGGCGCGATATTGCTCGTAATGACATAATAATCGTAATTATTCAGCGCCGTTTCTCCAATATCGTATTGCAGGCGATAACTATAATTTAGCGCTATCGCGATACCAGTTGCCCAAAGCGAAACCGGCTGCCATTTAATTAACGGCATGATATCCCGGTATTAAAGGCTTATAGCTCATTGCTTGTATAAATTTTCAATCCCGCACGGTCGAAATTAACATACGGGACGCGCACGTGTCGGCGAAAGTCGCGAGAGTTTAGTCACGTAAAAATTGCTCGTAAATACACAAGGGTTTTTTTCCCTTATTTTTCTATATCATGCGATTTCCCGACGTGTCGAGATACCGTGACATGAATTATAGAAAGACCCTGAATTGTTTGACGCGTAACGATGGTCTCATATAAATTCAAATGTGACTTTACAATGTGTGCAGATAGTACCGACGCTCGAGACACGACTATCAACCGAGACGTTCTCGCGCGACAACCTGAAAAACACGACGTCCACGACAGACGTCACCGTACCACGGCGTCACATGAGGCACGTTACAGACATCTGCGAGAAGTTTCAGGTCGGGGACGAGGCGAAAGGAGAATTTTATAGTCCGAATTATCCTGAGCAGTATCCAAACCAAGTCGATTGTGTTCGAGTCTTGGAGGGTGAGTCATTTTCTAATACAATATTGAAACTATAACAGAGACAGTATTAAAAAATAGAAATTGGCAATGATAAAAGTAAAATGTCTAAAAATTAGCATTAGTGAAGTAAATGGACCTTTTGTAAAGCTTACACATGTTTCTGATTGTGTTAACTTTAGAACGGGCTAGAATGCTCTATAACACCCCTTGAACGCATGAAAGGGTCATTTTGATTCGTTTAATGTTTTAAAGCTTTTCTTATTGTATTATAATCGTACCAATAATGCTCTTGAACATGCTAAGAATTATATAATAATTATATAATAAAAATTTACAAAACATAGGTATTTTATATATCGTAAACAAATTATAGCAATTTTTATAATTTTCCAAACTTAACATTTCCTACACAATAAAATGCGTTATAATTCATTACTAGCTCTCTATAATTAGTACAAGGAAACAATATTATAATAAAAATTATATTAAAATTATTAATAAAAATATTAAAGTTATATTTGTTTTTACAATGTTTTTTGTAAACCTGGATTATATATATACTGTAATTGTGATATAAATTACTACAAGGAAAAAAATTACTAGAAGAAATAGTAAGTTTGTCAATTCACCTGATATAAATTATAAAAAACATTCAAGTACTTACAATAATTTTGTAGTAATAGCCACACGTATCCACAATTCTCTATTAATTCTGGACTTTATTCTATTTCTCTTTTTCTATTTATTCTGACTTTATCCCGCCCGGCTATATGTTCGATTTCAATCATTTTACGAATGAAAATTGCTTTTATTATTCGATACAGTATATAATATTTTTGGAAAAAATTTCATTTTTGCTTAACACGTCGTCTAACTTTATTAACTCACGATAGAGAATATTAATACAAAATTTCGAAAGGTTCGAAAATCTACACTACTATTATTAAATAATTTTTTTTTATTTTAACTGTAATATTATTTTAAATTTAACTGTTATTATAACTATTACTATTATTATAACTATTATTCTATTATTTTAATTTTTTATTTTTATATTAATATTTTTATTTTAACTGTAATATTATATATATTTCAATTTTAATGAAACTTAATGAGAAGAAATATACATATTCTAAAAGAACCATTTCGCAATTTTATATTCACTATTCGTCATAAATACTAAAGAGAAAGCATATACTCCTGAAGCTATTTCAAAGTTTCAAAGAACATTGTAGTACATTTACAATTGAATTTGGAAATTTAAAAATATATGAAGAGATTTCTATATATGTGTGTGCATAATTATATATTTTATGCTAAATATGGTAGACACAACAGCACGTGTTTACATGTTATATTTATATATTATATTTATGTATTATATTTATATATAATATTTACGTGTTATGTTAAGATGTATATGTACAAGGAACACGAAAAGCGTAGTGAGGTTGTGTCAGTGTTTATTAGACATAATGTTTTGAAGTTTCGCCTCCAAGTTTGGCGTCCACTTTGGCATCCTTCTAACAAATAAGAAACTTACGAAACAGTGTGCTATTACAAATTTTTGGTAGAAATAAGAGTTGGTGATATCATAACGTTCATACGAGGTCCATCGATATCAGCTCAACCGCACTATTAAGCATTTCACATTCGAGATTTAAGTTGCTAATACTCTCTACTTAACTAGGATTTCGCGCGAAAGGAAACGATATTTGTTCAAAACATTTGCTCCTGAGATACGAGAGACTCACGGATCAAAGGTTTTCCTTGTCCGGAAAGCGTTCGCCCTTCCAACACGCTCGCCTTTTTTCCCCGTATTATCGGCGAACGGTGCGCGGTAGTAAAGTGAAATCTGGCTAGCAACGTGTTCTTGCCGCTGGCAATCTTGTAGAAGTTGCCTCGCTCGAAAATCGGTTTCTCAAAGAGATACGATATACCTATGTGTGGGGAATCGATTATTGATCATCCAACCGCCGCGAAAGTGATTGCTCCCTCGATATTCCGGTCAGCGTTGGGAGAGTCGCGGGCTAACGCAAGCCACGGTGCGAGATAAATAATTTATCTTCGACGATTAACCGGAACGTGCGTTATACAATCTCTACGACGTATCCATTCACGTAGCTCGCAAAGGCTATCGATCTGTAGAGTGCTTGACGGCGATAAATCATATTCTTCTTCCGCGACCATCACATGAATATTTATCAATACGATTAGGAAGAATTATGTTTGCAAATATTAATTTAAAGTATAGCCTGTTTAAAAATAAAACTGTCTATAACACTAGAATGCTCGATGGAATCATTTTCAAAAAATCTCTCATGACTTTTAAATATTTTTTAAATAGAACAGATTGAAAAAATAACGAAAAAGATCGATGATGTCGTGTCTAATTATTTTATAATATATCTTGAATTCTCAGGAAAGTTATTCTCTATTTAATTATCAATATTATGAGGATAACCTATCATTTGAGACTTTAAGTTTCTAATTCGGATTTTTATATTAATATTATATAATCCTAAAGTTTATATTCTATTTTATGCTTATTTACCAATTTTTTCGTACACGGAGAAAATATCGTAGTAAAAATTACAAGAAAATTTTTGCGATCCTGGACAATACACATAGTATTATGTCCGAAAGTTATTCTTATTCTCTATTTAATTATCAATGTTATAAGGTTAACCTATTATTTGAGATTTTAAGTTTCTAATTCGGATTTTTATATTAATATTATATAATCCTAAAGTTTATATTCTATTTTATGCTCATTTACCAATTTTTTCGTACACGGAGAAAATATCGTAGTAAAAATTACAAGAAAATTTTTGCGATCCTGGACAATACACATAGTATTATGGCCGAAATTACTATACATTTGTTTTAAAGTGTTATGCACCAATGTCTCCGCGGAACTATTAATCAAGATACATATTTTATATGTAGTACAGCATACATATTTTATATATACTTCTTATCCTGCGCTACTGGATAATTGTAGACCTGGTACCAAGACAAGATGACCACATGCTGGATATTTATATTTTGATTATTACAAAGCAAAGTATACAGGTTAACAGGATCGTGGCAGAAACGTGGCATTAACATGTAGAAGAAAGCTATTATGCTTGTGCAATCAATCACAGCAATCAGTTGTCTAAGAAGTTGTAACTTTAAAATTCTGAAATATACAATATCTAGCCTCAGTCATTTCGACTTTTATGATTACTTTTATTATGTAAAAGCATTTGTAATTTTATAAAACTAATATATACACAACGTAATCTTTGCCATAATATTTTGTTATATAATGATACAATCCCGACTTGATGATACAATCCCGACTTATGTATCGTATATTAATGATTGGACTACGAATATTTATGTAAATATATAAATACATCTTCATTCCACAGAAATAAAAAGTAAGATAAAAATGTTGAATATATTTTACATGTGTATGTGTGTGTGTGTGTGTGTGTGTGTGTGTGTGTGTGTGTAATATTGGCATTTCTGATAATAACTAAATTATTTCCGCTATAAATTATTTCAATTGTGATAATCCTAACATTTTAGCGTTTCGCTTTGAACAAATATCCACGATTTAATTCTCAATAAACTGCATTTGCATTTAATACATGATAAATAGCATTCCATATTGATAGCAGCTATAATAATATGACAGAATATATTTTGACTTCAGTTTCAGCTCTCTGTACATATATTTACATATATAATATACGTATGTATTCTGTACATATATAAACATCAGCGATCTATTAACAACTTATTTCATCATAAATAGGAAGCGCGTTTCTGTTCAATAGCGTTTCTGAATAATCTCGCAAATTGCAAATGTTCGTTGATCTGATAATAAACAACATTGATGCGATCAAATTCAATTTGTTGATAAAAAATTTATCACGTACAATTATTACGTATAGTCGGAAGTTATTGTACAATTAATTATTACGTATAGTCGGAAGGATTAATATATACAATGAACAATATATACGCATGTAATGCACGAGCTCTCCTTAAAATATTACGAAATTAAACAGAAATAATTTCGCTAGAGTGAACGCTATATGACGTCAATGTCGTAAATTGCATTTAAACATGTAGTACGACAAAGTCCTCAACTGTAAATCCAATTGTACAGACAGCGGCGGCTTTGGAGACGTTGTGCTCAAGCTACTAAACTAGTTTCTGCTTTCTCTTTTTTTAGGAGGAAATAGAAAAGCTCCTTGGGATATAAAACAGAGATTGAATTAGTCGCACTTTCCGATTATTTGTACATTAACGATTAACGCGATTGGAAATAAGTACGGCAACGGAGCACGACATTTTTAGTGAAAGTAATGGAGATTGGGGATGGTTGAGATATATTGGTAATCAAGAAGAAATCGTAGGAAACGTGAGCTGCATTGTAGTGACGCGAACAAGGAGGACTTCAATTTGTGCTATTGTACAGCACCATCGACTAGCTACGGCCAGTCTTATGTTCAGTGAAAATTCTATCGACCTTATATTCGTCTTATCGAAAAATATCGAGATTCCTCGTTTTATCGAAAAATATTGAGATTTACCGACGTATGTACTTAATTTCTCCGTCGTCTATTCCGAGACACGACGATTCTCCATAAAGACTGCAATAACCTCCGCGCTTACATGTCGAGTAACAATGAAACGCACACAAGTAAACATTACTAAATAGGATAAAAGTACTAATTCCCGGACACGAACTTGGACATTTTTAATGTTTTGGTCTTTAAATATGAATATTTGAATTTTTAACATAGAATATACGTATATATTCAATATACGTATATATACTTTTTATATGTTAAGATATATATATATATATATATATATATATATATATATATATATATATATACATTTTATAGTAAATCAGTAATTATCGTCATCTGCAATATTTTCAAAGTAAAAAACAATCTTCAAAAATCTTTTAAATTATTTTATTTAAAGAGGAGCGTTGCTGCAATCGGACACTT